GCCTCAGTATCATAGAGATCGGGCGCGATCCCGCCACGGCTACCCTAGAGCGGCGGCGGTGCGGTGCGAGCCTGGCGGCAAGATGGCGGCTGTGCCGCTTCGGGCAGCCGGTGGGATGGGGGTCACCGGAGTCAGCGGGGCCGCCGCGCCGAGCAGGGTTGAGGGCCGGGTCTCGTTCCGTCCCTGCCTCCCCCCTCAGCCCCTCTTTAGCTCAAGGCCGCGGGGCAGGGCCTGTGCTGGCTCCGCCATGCCGCCTCCCTCAGCGGTCGCGACCACCTCTGCCCGGAGCTGCGGCAGCGGCTCTCTGGCTCATCTCCCTCCATGAGGTGACAGCGTGGACCCCCCGCTCCCCGGGAGAGGAACACCAACGCTGCCAGTAACAAGTGAAGCAGAAATGGACTGATGGGCTGGTGCGGTCCCTGCTGCGGTGGGGTGTGCGCGGGCACCGCCGTGTGAGGTGGAACCGCTCCCGCACCGACATGGCGGGTTCCGCAGTTGGGCCGGTTGTGGGTTGTTCGAGAGCTTCGCTTGGCAAGGGTCGGCCGTTGGAGCCCGCGGAGCTGGCCCTGACAGGGTGATGGAAAGGGAGATGGGTCCGCTGTAGGTCACAGCCCGCTACACTAATGTGTGGTTCCGGCAGTTCAGTCAATAAAACGGGCTCTGAACTGTCGTGGCTGAGGGCTCTGATCTGTGATCTCTGTCAAAATTTGTACCGGCGGCTGAGGAGAGCTCATAAACTCACTGCGGCTAGATCCAGTGGGGCTTGTGAGGCAAAGCTCTGCAGGGAAGCCGAGAAAACACCTCGATTTGCATATTTAAATGGCGAGCAGGCTTAAGACATACAACTTTTATGTGTGGAATGCTGCCAATGATACCCCTCAGAAAAATGTAATTTCACTTAACACAGACTGGCAATATGGATACAATTACTCATTTTTCACTCTTGTTTTTGTAACTCTGCAATAAAGCTCACCCTCCAAAACTCACTTTCATTACAGTTGTCCCTACACTGAAACCGAGAAAATCTGCAATGTAGTCAATAATTTATTATTTTAACATATTTCCCCAAACAAAGCTCCAAGTTTATAAACAATGCTGATTTTTGAACTAAGAACTTCAAATATTTAGCAATACACACCAGTAGTTGTGAGCCGTATTACAAAGAAAGTTACAGCGTGGCAATTACTCCTATTGGTTGGAGAGGGCTCTTCCTCAGGCTTGAATCTAAAAACTAATCTCAGTGAATTTGGCTTATTGGGAAACATCAACTTTCAGACTCTATTTTTGAACTGTCACGCTTGTAAATCTCCCGTTGGCTCAGATGTCCTGCCTGGTTCTTGTCAGCTCCGCCCTAAAAAGGTGGAGTTTCTCAGGAGACTTCCATAAAGAGGGAGAGAGGAGGAAGGTGAGCCTCTCTTAGGAGGGTTTCCTGACTTCTTTAGAGGGAAACATACCCCAAGCAGAGAGGAAGCAACAGAGTGTAATTCATACCGCAATTGCTGCTTACAGGTAAAGAATAAGTGTAATTGCTTTCTAATTAGTCGAATAATATATTGAATAAGTAAGCTAAAAATGTGTGAGCTGCTGTTTGGCAGCATACTGATTGTGTGGTGCTGACACCTGTTTTTTCAGAGGTTAGGCTGTTCAACCAACTGCAACAGAAGTTTCCCTTTACCCCTTTGTTGTCCCTGAGCTAAAGAAAAGTAAAAATGGGCTAAAAGCAGCTCCTGAGTTGTGGTTTTGCTTGTCACGAAAAATAGTTTGGTTGGTTTGTTTTTTGAATATTTTTAGGAGTTGGCATTTTTTCTGGCCCTAATGTTAAAAGGAAGTTTGGAATATTTCTGTGCAGAATATCATAGCCAGCTGCATTCTCATCTTTTTTTCCTTTCATATGCTTTCTCTAGCTTTTTGATGTTTCTGGTAACATCAAACCTTCTTAGAAACTGAGATTTCATGTGAGAGAAGAGGTGCTATAACCACTTTAGTTGCAACAAACACTTTGAATGTTACTATTGAAGCATTTTCTCACTGAGCCTGAAAACAAAGTGACTTCCTAATGCATGAATTGTTTTTATTTGGTTAAATAATACTAAATAGTACTACTTGTAGTGACACCTTTTTTGATAGCAGCATTAGCCCAATGTGATAAAATCCTAAGTATATTAAAAAAATCTTCTAAAGCTATGAAAAAAACTTACAAAACTATTCTTCCTTTATCTTGATACAGGTCTTTTTTTTGCTACTGATGTTCTGGGTGCAATGAAAACTCTGCATGTTTGGGGGGATTGAGCAGTATCTTAAGTAATAAATAACACATATTTTATACTAACTTTCCTGATAGAAAGCTGCCTCGTGACCTTCTGCATTCCCCTCTTTTTAACTTGTATCTCACCGAATACATGTTTAATCATCCTGTGTATAATACCTGTGGCTGTCTTTAGCGAAGAGGAACACTTGCGTTCCCTGCACTTCATAGCTTAGAATACCCAGGGATTTGGAAATACCAAACTTGCATGGTTTTTCTTTGTTAAACCTCACAAAATTAAGAAGGGAGTAGGAAGATACAAAGCTGTGCAGCAATTCAGGGCAAAAGATTCCTACATCATTCCCTCTTTTCCTAGCACTAAAGCCTAACTTCTGTTAAAAACCCTCACGTTCTCCTCAAAGTTGGAACCAAACCTGTCTTTTATTATTCAGGGAAAACCTTGCAGCATGCTTCTGTGAGTCCAAAGTTCAATTAAAATGCATGGAAACAAGCTACTTTGCTCTCAGGAAACTATCCTGTGGCTTCAATGTCCCACAGTCCTACAAGAATCTTACAGTAATGAGGGCAGTAATAACACGGAAAGTTGGATTTTTGGGTGAGACTACAAAATTGAGATGAAAAGAAACATAATAACTGTAATTCAGTGCAGTTTATAGAATTTTTACATGAATTAAGATTTGATAAATCCTATCTCAAAGAGGTATTTTGATGACTGATATTTGGAGTTGGGTGGAGTGAATCCCAAACCAAAATCACTAATTCCTGGAGAAGTCACAAAAATCCTTGCAAAAAAGGCATATGGGGGTGGGGGGCAGAGTTTACCTAGATTTGGGGGGGGGGAAATCTGCACGTTTCCGTCAGCTGGTAGGGAAAGGGATTGCATTATTTATGTGAGTATGATGAACCCTCGGTAAAGTATTTCTCTGTGTTCATCTAGTCTTTATGAAAAATGAAGTATCAGGAGCCTTGGAGAATCAAGGACTCACAAGACACACTGCCTTGACACCTGATGTATCTATTTTGAGTGATGTGCTGAACTCTGAGGACAGAGGGTTTTTTTCCACAAAAAAAGGTAAAGCTGGAGCACAGCCAACAGAAATTGGTCTGCTCTGACTTAAAATGATTCATTATCTGTTAAAAAAACCCAAACACAAATGCCAGAGATGGAGGAGGGAAGAGAACTTGCTCATTTGCTTGCATCCCTACTCTTTTCATGGGCTAACTCTATCTCTGGTTTTTACCTGGCTGCTGAAATTGGCTCACCAGAACATTCAGTGAGGAAGAACTGAGAGAAGGTGTGAACGTAAAGTAAGTATTATATTTAAGGGCTTCGTGTCTTCAAACACTGGAAAAGGGTTGCTATCTTGGTGAAGGGAAAGGTGGGTGAGAGAGCAGAAGTGACATCCCAGATCTGGGACGACCATCTCTGTGCAACACGAAGACGATGCCTTAGTGCCTATCACTAAAGACCCTTATGTAAGACACTGCAAATATAAGTAAGGCCAGTTTGTAGACACCCAAAGTTTAAGAAAGACTGATTAGGGAAACACAAGGGATAAACAAATAAAGATGTGTCAGCTGCAGAGGAAGGTCTCAGTGTACTGACCACCTAATAGCAGAAGAGGTTTTGGAAAGCAGTGGAAAAAAGTTTTAAGGAGAGTTAGTGACGAGGGATTTGTAGATATCTCAGCATAAGCTTCTCTGGTGTTTAAGAAGGAGAGATAGATAAGGTGCTTATTAGACTGTTTTAGAAGCTGATTGATAGTCATTAATCTCTGCTAGGATTTCCCAGCAGTGTTTTCAGTTCAAACCAGTTAGAAACTATCATCATGTTATATGAGAGGAAACCTAAACTGAAACAAAACTCACATTATGTAGATCACCAAAAAAGCTCCTTCTGTGTGCTGCCAGGACAATGCAGATTCAGACCAGTAACACAGGACTAAATTTCCCAAATTAAGGGAAATTAGGGTCTAACAGGAAAAGAATTAGGAAGGGAAGGGAATGAGATGGGGAAGGACCTGAGGTGCTGATGGTACCATTTAAGTGAAGGTGACACAGGTGTTTAGTCAGCAAAGGTAGATACTCCGACTTGGGCTTT